CAAGGCCTAAACTTATCAGTTGGACGCAACCACCACCAAGTTTTCTTTTTCACTGCGAAACGTTAAAAAGAATTCAAATCATCCTATTGCGACCCGTCTGTTATTATGGTACGCGAACACTGAAATTAAGTCCTTCTGTCAACTGATAGAAATAGATAGTACAGAACACGGAGAGTCTCTGATGGATTGACGGATAGCTCAGAGCTAATCAGAATCTGGAGACATATGGTTGTCTAATTGGATCACTTACTTTGCCTCTCTTCACTCATGAGCATCGATTAAAACCAGCAAAATTTCACGAAAACTTGGCGACAGGGGCAGTGGTGGTACCTTTGGTCGCATCATGCCAAGGAAACTAGAACTAGACCCGGCAGTGTAAACGGCCTTGCTCTTAAGAATCGACCCATCCATAAGATTATTTTAGATTTCAGTCTTATTTGATCCAAACGCAATGAGAAGATTTCAGGAAATTAATCGACAAGATCTGTTTATTTTTTTCGGTTTACTGTCAACTCACCACCACAACAAACTCGCCACCACAAAACTCGTCACCACTCAAAGGGAATCGCCACCGGTAGCGATTTGACTTAAACGTGAAAGCTAAGATGGAGTAGTATATTGCGAAAAGGGAAAGGTGTAGTATCTCAATAATGGAACATTAAACGAAATAAAATATGTTGATATCACGAAGATTATGATCAGTTTGCGAACAGCAGCGAAACCAGAATGATATTCACCGGGTAATTTTCGCCACGTGATTTCCGCCGATATGAATGAAATCGTATGAAACTTACCTCATAAAAATTCTAAGAGGTCGAAGTATATTGCGAAATTAAAAGCGCGCACAAATACAGCGAAGTTTACTCAAACAGACTTTGGCGTCCTTTCTTTGTTTGGTTAATCATCTGTTTTAATGAGTGAACGAATGCGGCCGTCAGAAGGAACATTGCTCACTTGCTACTTATTATTCTAATTAATTATAAGTTTGATCTGTTTGCTCTTCAGGGACTCCTAGAGGACGCCAAGTCGCTTTCTGAAGAATTTTGCCGTATTTGTTCGCACTCTTAATTTCGCATCGTAAAAACTAAAAGATAAGTAAACTTCAAGATGGAACCTTTCGTATGATATAAGTTTCATTAGATTTGATTGCGAATCGTGTGAAAGTTAACGTCGACATTCTTTGTGCTTGAAATAAAGGGTTTACCGAACAAAGAAAGGAAGCCAAAGTCTGTTTGAGTAAACTTCGCTGCATTTGAACGCGTTTTTAAGTGCCCCTGTCTGAGAAAGTGTTCCGGCGGCCAAAAGTGCTTGTTAGCCGATTCGCCCGAAACTTGGCACAAAAGTTGAGTGTGATAAGGTATTTCAGAGGCCATTTTGGCTCACTTCTCTGACTGTTTGTTCTGGAGTTTCAGGGGAGTCCCATTTGTGGCCTATAGAGCACCAAAAATTCATTCTTCTTGGGGGCGTTTTGAAAGTACTATAAAACTTCATAGGTAAATTGTGCTACCAAATGAATTTGACCATGGACTCTACTATAGTGGAGCTTTTACTTCTTAAATGTAGCTTTGTTCTCAAGCGATTAGACAGAGAGGGGCCTGGGGCTAAAGTTAGGTCAAATTTGAGGTTAAAATCACAACGCAAAATTGCTATTTTGCAAAAAACCATAACATTCACCTGCCTTCTTGCACTTAGCGAGCATGACCATGCATATATAAGCTTACGTACCGCAGTGGGCACCGTCCAGGTGACTTGTGATCCACCAGAGATCTTAGGTACTTTAGAACTGAATAAATGGAACCATCCACCAAAGAGGGAATCCAAAGTTAGAAGAGATGGATGACAAATAATTATTGTTGCTGTTTAAATGAAATATTCCACACGAGACGTGAGATGATGCCAATTGGGCTCGCCATTTTGGACGTGAGAGTATTAGGACTGGACCGGGTTTCCATTCCTTCCCCTATTCAAGCGTAAATGTTTGTGTCCTTATCAAGTATTAAAAGTGTGGCGATAAGAAGTTTAAGGATTTTTACGATGGTGTTTTGTTCCTTTGGAGGGGTAAATGATCAGTGCGGTGCCGCGTCATAGGCTCTGCACGAAACAGGAGTGACTCCTTTGTTTTCTTGCGATAATGACATGACTGCTTGGTTAAATCACAAGTACAAAGGGTCAGTTGCGTCTGGAGCGAGAGAAAGACCGGGTGATACCAAAGCTACAAGTACAGGTCATTCGAAATATCTGAAAGGGCTCATACACGCGCATAAATGTAGCAAATGGCTTTTTAAGTGCCACTCTCGCTAGGAGCGGTCCTCTCAAGTTCAGATCCGAAAAAAATTTTCCTCATTGTTTTTCCTATGAAAGGGGTTTAGGACACATGTTTCAAAAATAGTTTGGTTGTTTTCCAATTCTCTTTTGTATGAAGATTTCAACTTTTGCGAACTCTCTGCCAAGGGAAGATTAGCCAAGGTGTTGCAAAAACAAAAACTAGGTCAACCACAGTCACTGTGCGAGTTTTTTTTGACGTTGAAATTATAGGTAGTGCTAATCGTAAGCCGCGGTATTATGAACCTCTTCTACAGTTAGCAAATTCCGGTGATTGCTGCAAGTGATAGTCAACAAACCCCGTCACTCAAAACTCAGTGAAGGCTGCGTGACTCCTCGACTTGGTCCAGTCCTCTCACTGAGTTTCACATCCAACATGGTGGGCCAGTCGTTACAATAACAATCACATCCCGAGGCGTTGCATGGCATGTTTCACATAAACTGCAACACAAACTATTTGTTATCCAGCTCTCCTAGCTGTGGATTTGTCATTTACTGCCGGATGATTTGATTTATACAGCTCTAACGTACCACGGAAATCGGATGGATCACAAGTCAGCTGGACGCTACTCCCTACAACTTGTATGTATCATCCTGCTCTTTTACTGACGCCATCATGCGTATTCACAAGAGCTAGCAGAGCTATCAAAAGTTTAAACGTAGATCTTCTGTTAACGGTCGTTTTCATTAAGCTCATTTCATACTGCATAAAAAAATGGGCCTGACAAAATATAGAGACCTTGCATGCTTGTGAGTATAGTATGTATGTAAGTATGACCTGAAAAATATAAATCAGAGGAAATTCAAGCATCTTTAAAAAGATTGGCATATCTAGGTGAGAACATCATCAATTGTGCTCTGTGATGGGTACTAGGTTTTCAAAGAAAAAAATTACCTTTATTTTGCTAAACCCTGGTGTTTGTAGTGTTAATCAGAGGCTTTTGTAAGCTATGAGTCGAGGTATTTCTAAATAATGACACTGATTTTGCTTTAATGTTTCATTTTCACTCACCAAGTACAAAACAAAGGCTTTATGTCAAGAATTTGGTGTGTTTATAGCATGAATTATGCTCAAAATTCCATTTTGCTTGGCCTTAGAGGGGCATAGAGAGTTTGTGCCAAAAACTTAACAAACCTCATTAAGCCAAATTTTTCTCAATTGGTTTTGATGAATGGGTCACTAAAGTGCATACTGGATTTGGTATGAGAGTTATGCAAGAAGGCAGGTGAATGTGATGCTTTTTTGAAAAATAGCAATTTTGGGTAGTAGTTTTGACCTCAAATTTGACCTAACTTTAGCCCCAGGCCCCTCTCTGTCTAATCGCTTGACAACAAAGTTACATTTATGAAGTAAAAGCTCCACTATAGTAGAGTCCATGGTCAAATTCATTTGGCAGCACAATTTACCTATGAAGTTTTATAGCACTTTCAAAATGCCACCTAGAGAGATAAATTTTTGGTGCTCTATAGGCCACAAATGGGACCCCCCTGAAACTCCAGAACAAACAGTCAGAGAAGTGAGC